GACTGTCAGCTGATTTCTCAAAAGAAACTTTGCAGGCCAGAAAGGAGTGGCAAGAGATATTCAAGGTGATGGAAAGCAATGACCTACATCCAATATTACTCTATCCTGCAAAGCTATCATTTAGAATCAATGGACATATCAAGAGTTTCCCAGACAAGAAAAAGCTAAAGGAATTCATCACCACCAAACCAGTATTATATGAAATGTTGAAGGGTCTTCTTGAAGGAAAAGAAGAACAAAAATATGAACAATAAAATGGCAATTAATACATATCTATCAACAATTGAATCCACAAACAAAATGAGCAAGCAGAACAGAAACAGACTCATAGATAAGAGAACTTTTTGTTGTTTGCCAGATGGATGGGGGCTCGGGGGCTGGGTGAAAATGATGAAGGAATTAAGAAGTACAAATTGGTTGTTAGACTGATGAACCTCAAAGGGAAAGGGGGAAGGAGGGTGAGATGAGATAAACCAAAGAACTTCTATGCATATATGCATAACCAATGGACACCGACAATAGTGTGGGGAAGGCAGGAGGGGGAAGGAATAGGGAGGAGGGTGTCATTGGGGTAAAAAGGGAGAAACATCAGTAATACATTCAACAATGAAAATGAGTTTAAAAAGAAAAAAGAAAAAATAAACAAAATTGATCAACCTGTAGCTAGATTCACCAAAAAACAAAGAAAGAGAACCCAAATTAATAAAACCAGAAACTAAAGGGGTGAAGTAACAATGGAGATAACAAAAATACAAAAGATTGTAAGAAAATACTATGAATCATTATATGCCAACAAATTTGACAACCTAGGTGAAATGAACAAATTTTTAGAATCATGTACAATTTCAAAACTCAACTGGGAAGAGTCGGAAAACCTAAACAGACAAATAACAATGAAGGAAATAGAAGAAATAAGCAATAAATCCCAACAAACAAAAACCCTGGTCAAGATGGCTACACGAGAGTTTTACCATTCAAAGAAGAATGATCACCTATTCCCCTCAAACTATTCTAAAAAATTTAAGAGGGAGGAAATCTTCCAAACTCTTTTTATAAGGCCAGCATAATCCTAATGCCAAAACCAGATAAAGACATTACAAAGAAAGAAAATTACAAGCCAGTATCTCTGATAAACTCATAGATGCTAAAATCCTCAACAAAATCTTAGCAAATTGAATCAAGCAATATATTTAAAAATTATACACCACAACCAAGTGGGATTTATCCCAGGGATGCAAGACTGGTACAATATTCATAAATTAATAAATGTGATACACCACATAAATAAAAAGAAAGATAAATACATATGATCATATCAACAAATGCATTTGACAAAATCCAGCATCCATTTTTCATAAAAATTCTCAGCAAAGTGGGAATAGAAGGATAATACCTCAACATAATAAAGGCCATTTATGACAAACCTATAGTTAACATGCTCAATGGGCAAAAACTAAAAACATTTCCCCTAAGAACAGGAGCAAAACAGGGATATCCACTTTTACCACTCTTATTTAACATAATATTGAAAGTCAGCCACAGCAATCTGACAAGAAAATAAATAAATAAAAGGGATCCAAATTGGAAAGGAAGAAGTGAAACTATCATTATTTGCAGATGACATGATATTGTACATAGAAAAACCTAAAGACTCCATCAGAAAACTACTAGAGTTAATAAATAAATTTGGCAAAGTAGCAGCATACAAAATCAACATCCAGCACTGGCCAGTTTGGCTCAGCAGTTAGAGCGTCAGCCTGTGGTCCAGAGAGACACAGGTTCGGTTCCCGCTAAGGGTGCATACCTTGGTTGCAGTTTGTCCCCGGCCCTGGTTGGTCGTGTGGGTGGCAGCCACTCAATGTGTCCCTTTCATATTGATGTTTCTCTCTTTCTCTTCCTCTATCTGAACAAAAAATAGAAAAATGTCCTTGGGTGAGGATACAAATAAATAATAAACAAAAAACATGCAAACAAAATCAGCATCCAGAAATCATTGGCATTTTTATGCATCAATAATGAACACATAGATAAAGAAACTAAAAGAAAAAAATCCCAGCCCTGGCCGGTTTGGCTCAGCGGTTAGAGCGTCGGCCTGCAGTCCTGAGAGACCCGGGTTCGATTCCCGCTAAGGGCGTGTACCTCGGTTGCAGTTTGTCCCCGGCCCTGGTCGGTCGTGCGGGTGGCAGCCACTCGATGTGTTCCTTTCACATCGATGTTTCTCTCTCTCTCTCTGTTCCACTCTCTCCCTCCCACTTTACCTGAACAAAAAATGGAAAAATGTCCTCGGGTGAGGATAAAAAAAAAAAAAAAAGAAAAAAAATCCCATTTACCATTGCAACAAAAAAAATAAAGATACCTAAGAATAAACTTAACCAAAGAAGTAAAGGACCTATTCACATAAATCTATAGGACATTGAAAGAAAAAAAATAGAGGAAGATATAAAAAAATGGAAGCATATACCTTGTTCATGGTTTGGAAGAATCAACATCATTAAAATGTCCATACTACCCAAAGTTATCTATAGATTCAATTCAGTCCTCATTAAAATATCAATGACATATTTCACAGAACTATAACAAACACTGCAAACATGTATATGGAACCAAAAAAGACCCCAAATTGCCACAGCAATCTTGCAAAAGAAGAATAAAGTAGGCGGGATCACAATACCAGACATCAGGTTATACTACAAAACCATTATAATCAAAACAACCTGGTACTGGCACAAGAACAGGCATATAGATCAATGGAATAGAACAGAGAACCCAGAAATTGACCCAAGACATTATGCTCAATTAATATTTGACAAAGGTGGCAAGAGCATACAATGGAGTAAAAATATTCTCTTTAATAAATGTTGTTGGGGCCCTGGCCGGTTTGGCTCAGCGGTTAGAGCGTCGGCCTGCAGTCCTGAGAGACCCGGGTTCGGTTCCCGCTAAGGGCGCGTACCTCGGCTGCAGTTTGACCCTGGCCCTGGTCGGTTGTGCGGGTGGCAGCCACTCGATGTGTCCCTTTCACATCTCCCTCCCACTCTACCTGAACAAAAAATGGAAAAATGTCCTCGGGTGAGGATAAAAAAAATAAAAATAAAAAAATAAATGTTGTTGGGAAAATTGGACAGCTACATGCAAAAAAATGAAGCTAGATCACCAACTTACACCATACACAAGAATAAACTCAAAATGGGTGAAAGACTTAAATGTGACTGATGAATCCCTAAAAATCGTAGAAGAAAATATAAGTAGCAAAACCTCAGACATCACACAGCAGAATTTTCACTGGTATAATGCCTAGGGCAAGAGAAACAAAGGAAAAAATTAATAAATGGGACTACATCAAACTAAAAAGCTTCTTCATAGAAAAAGAAACAAGAATCAAACTGGAAAGGGAACACACTGTATGGAAGAACATAATTGCCAATGATATATCAGATAAGGGGTTAATTTCCAAAATATATAGAGTGCTCTTACCACTCAACAAAAGGAAGACAAAGGATCCAATTGAAAAATGGGCCGAGGACCTAAATAGATACCTCTCCATACAGGACAAATGGCCAAGAGACATATGAGAAAATGCTGAATGGCAATAATCATCAGAGAGATGAAAATTAAAATGACTATGAGGTATCACCTCACACCTGCCAGAATGGCTGCCATCAACAAATTATCAAACAGGTGCTGGTTCAGCTACTATGGAAAACAATATGGTGTTACCTCAAAAAATTAAAAATTGATCTGCCATTTGATCCAGTGATCCCACTTCTAGGAATATATTCTAAGAAGCCTGAAACAGCAATAAGAAAGAATATATGCACCCCTATGTTCATAGCAACACTATTTGCAATTCCTAAGATCTGGAAACAGCCCAAGTGTCCATCAATATAGTGGATAAGAAAGCAATGGTACATATACAAAATGGAGTACTATGCAACTGTAAGAAAAAAAGATCTCTTATTCTTTGAGACGACATGGAAGAAGAGTATTATGCTAAGCAAAATAAGCCAGTCAGAGAAAGACAAGTATCACATGATCTCACTTATCTGTGGAATATAATGAACAAAATAATCTGATGAACAAAATAGACCCAGAGACTTAGAAGTAAGGTTCAGACTGACCAACCTTAGAGGAGGGGGTCAGGGGAGAAGGAAGAGATAAACCAAAGAACTTATATGCACATAAACATAACCAATGAACACAGACAACAATGCTGTGTGTGTGTGTGTATTGGGGGGGGGGCAGGATAAGGAGGAAGGTGTCAATGGGATAAAAGGAGAAACATCTGTAACAAAAATAAATTAATTGAAAGATGTCAAAACATAAACTTCATATTAAATTAAAAAATAATAAAATAAAAGCTGAACTAGAAAAAGACAAATACCACATGATCTCACTTATTTATGGAACATAGGAACAAAATAAGCTGTCGACCAAAAGAGATGCAGAGTCATCGAAGTAGGGAACAGACTGACAAACCTCAGAGGGATAAGGTGGGAGGGGTGGGAAGAGATAAACCAGAGAACTTATATGTATATATGCAGAACAAATGGACATAGATATTAGGTTGGGGAAAGCGGGAGGGATGTGAGTAGGAAGGAGGTGGTCAATGGGGAAAAAGGGGGGCATCTGTAATATTTTCAACAATAAAAAATAAAGCTGAACTGAACAGCCTAGCCTTCGAGTCCCATGAAGCTCCCCCAAACCAGGCTCCATGATAACTACCTGGGGACATCCATGGCCCTTCTGAGGTATTTAACTGTTTGCTAGCCTCATGTAACTCAGACCTTTACGGAGTCAGACTAGAGACAGCTCACCATTCACTCCTTTGTAACTACTCTGACAATGAGCACATAAAAGAACATAAAGCTATTGCTTAAAAGAAATGTGTGATCACATACAGCCCCCTTGCTGTCCAACTGTGTGAAAACAACAACAACAACAACAACAAAAAACGCCCAGGCCCCAGGATGAGCTAGTGAGAGAGAGCGTGAAGTCACATTCACGGTTGTACAGGGTGATGATGTGCAGACAGTTCAGCAGCTGCCACTTATACTCATGAATCCTCTTCATGTGCACGTTGAACATGGAGGAAGGGTTAACCTTGTACTCCTCCAGGAAGGCAGAGAACTTCAACTTGTTTTCCTGGGGAGATTAAAGGGGATGGATGAAATGGTTCACAGGAACAAAATCCACAAGCTTCCCACCTGGGCTGAGAATATCTCTGTTCCTCTGTTAGAACTGTAGCACAGAGGGGGCTTCCAGGACTTCTACTGCTGCCCCAGGGGAGGGACACAAAGACTGGAAGACCAGAGCAGAGGGGCTAAAGAGTGGCAATAATGTGAGGAAAAGTAGGGGTGGTGGAAGTGAGATCCTGAAAGTGAATACACACTTTGGCAGAAATAAATGGAAAACTAGACCAAAAAGCAAACCTGAGGAAAAGCAAAGGATAAGAAAAACAGAATAAAGGGAAACCAGTGAATGTGGCATATAAGGAGACAGATGGGGACAGTTGGAGAGAGAAGAGGGAGAGATGAGACTTCAAAATGAAGGGCTATTTCTGGGCACAGCACAGAGGTAGGTGGGCAAGTGGTGTCTCAGGGTCAGTCCTCATTCTCCATTAGACTTGGTCTGAAAAGTCTCAGGGACCCCAACCTGTAAAGCCATGAAGCTGGCTGCAGTAGGAAGAGGTTCAGGCACACAGATCTGAATCAGCTTTCTGAGTACTTCCCTGTAGACAAGCTTTTCCTACAGATCTTTGGTGAAGGTATACTCAAGACTATTCTAAGGGTCTGTACTTACCCACCTGCCCACCTGCCTACTGCTTGATGTGAGATCAGTTGGGTCTTCATCTGAAAAGCTGAGTGGAGAGGATTGACTTTCAGCCCCTGGGTCCCAACACACAGAACAGGCAGGGACACTGCTCCACACTAAGTCTGAGGCTGCACACGGGCCTACCTGCTTCACCTTGGCCACATCCCTCATGAGTGTCTCATCACTGACCAAGGGCAGCAATTTCCTCAATTGACTCAGGTCAGTCAGAAAACCTCCCCAATTTTCTGGAGAATTGCAAAGGAACATGTAGTTTCTACTCAGTTTTGGACCTATCCTCCTGGAGGCTATCCTCCTGTTTTGTCACCTATGCCTCTGTTTTCTGGCTACCTGCCAGTCAGTGTTCAGTTCTCAGCTCCAGGTACTGCCCCCACAGCCACCTGTTGCATCCTCTAGTCTAGTACACCACCCAGCATGTGTAAAGGTTCATTTCTTTCTCTCCTGAGTGAGCACGTGAACAAATCAATAAACTACCACATCTTTGGCTCACAAAACCTCTTCAGCTGCTGGACTATGGTTGCTGTTTGGCCAGGTGGCCCCACCGCAGCCCCTCCTGAAACCCCAGGACCTTGATTCTGAACTACCCTCTATGGGCCCAGAGATCACTGACTTACTGCTCTGCCTGTCCCAGCGCTCTTACACCTGGGGGTGGCAGCTAGACCCCACCTACTCCCATCCAGGAGCCACCGATGGTCCACACAAAGGAGCAGTTTGCTGCCCACTCAGCACCCACTGGTGATGGGCCTGATGACACCAGGTGAGTGGTGGTTGTGGCTCTAACTGTGCCCACAGTTCCCTGTGGATTCAGAGGTAGCCAGTCTCACCTCCATGATGGTATCAGCTTGCCCTGGATTACACAGGAGCAACCAAATTCGAGGCGTGATGCCGTTCATCTTATTCTGGAACTTTTCTGGCTCCAGCTCATAAAAATCCTTAAAGCCAAAGCCACAGAAAACAGGGAATGGTGACCAATGCTGAGTTCTGAATAAGGTGAGAAAGAAGAACATAAGGACTTGGAAGGAAATCCCCTGGAAGGTCCTGAAGTTCAGTTTTTTTGTTTTGTTTTCTGAAGAATGCAGAGCAGTCAGTATTACTGCACTCTCAGAGAACATTAGATATGCAGCACATGCTTTTCCAATGCACCAATGCATCCCACAGCCCACTGTGCAGCCTGGGGCTAGCTATAATCTCACAGGTAGAAGGACCTGGCCATTTTCTAAAGTGATCACAATAGTGGAGAAACTGGGGCTCAGTTTTCCATATCTGTAAAACAGGGACTGCACTCTCCCTCCTCAAGAAGTCTGCTGTGGAGATCAAAGCCTCTGGGAAGGCACCAAGAACACAGAAGTCTCCACATGAACAGACCAGGTCTAGGCCTGCCTAGCACTCTCACAAATGTGAGGATGGAAGAAGTTCTAGGATCACATCCCACTAACAGGGAATGGGAAGTACAAGATCTGACCTAAGAATTCCTCTATTCTCAGTGACCAGCCACTGCCTGTTACACCTTAACCTCCACCCTATCCAAGCCAAGACACTCATTCCCAGGTGGGGCCCTCATGGCACTCAGCCAGTGGCAGATGGCTCTATGGGCAGAGCCTCTGCCTGGACAGAGCCACAATACAGAAAACAGGAGGAGCCACTGATGATGAGACAGTTTAGCTCCTCAACATCACCTGTTGGCCAGAGTGCTTTGGGCAGGTCAGCCATTGCCCATGAGGGCAGCACAATAATGGTGTGGAGCATGGGCCAAATGCCTCAGGCACTATGCATATGGATAACTGACAGTCCAGAGACAGTCAGAAAGGACGTATACCCTAGCTCAGGACAAACACTGGTCTCACTCACACTGACTGCTTCATTATCTGCGAGTGGATCCTAGCCATCCCATTGGTAGCATGGGATCCAATAACACACAGGTGGGCCATCTTAATCTACTTGCAGTCCCCTTTCTCAATCACAGACATCCTCTGAAGCCGGTCCACATCCGCAGGGAACAGGGCAGCCACTTGCTGTTGCCAAGACGGAGAGCCATAAGTAGGAGTGCAGGAGATCCCACAATGGGCCAGGGGCTCCCTGAGGGAAGTTTGGCTTCTTCTAAGAAAATCCTGGGGCTGCTGTACCCCAGACTTGCACTCAAATAACCTGGACACAGCCCTAAGAGTCCATCCTCCCACATTGAATCAGCCAAGGAAAAAGCTCAGGAGGACTCAGCAGAGCTGCTCTGTCAGTGGCAGGACAAGAGGACCAGCAGTGCTAAGGCCATGTCATGTGTCTTACAAGGAAAAGATGGGAATGCTGTCCCTGTTGGCCGAAGTAGAGTTTAACCACATTTGACAGTGGGAATAGCTACCTCTTCACCAAAGGGTTAAATGATACCTAAATGCTAAGTCCCCCTATGTTTCTACCATTATCTTTTCTGCAGGTAACAAAGACAAAAAGAACTGTTTCCAAATCACCCAAATGCTGCTATGTCATCTCAGGATAAAAGTCTCTGCAATTCCAAGAATAGATACTTAAATCTAAACCCCACTAGAGAATAAGACCATTTAAAAAAGACCTAAATTCATAACTCCCACATATATAGCAGGGGTCTAGGTGTAGGGACTAGCCATAGCTCTGTCAAGTGACAGCCCCCAGACCTCAACATTCCCTGCCGGACAGAGGCTATTTGGTTCAAGAAGTAATGTGGAGAACACAGGAAGGCCAGTTGGTACGAGTGGACCAACCTGGCCCTAACCCCAGCATGCCCAATGCTAACATCCATGTGCCTCTGGTTGATGGCATATATGATCTCCAGGTGCCATGGCAGCAGCTTCCCAAATATGGACATAGGCCAGCATTCCAAGGTCTCTGGCAGCACAGTGTGGTTGGTGTATGCACAGGTCTTTGTGATTTCTCAGGCCTAGAACATGCTAGAACATTTTAGTGTGCTTTGCTTAGAAACAAGCAGCTGTTCTGCCAGATGCCTAAGCAAGGGAAAAGTCTTTTCTGAGATGATCCACAAACATTATGCATCCGGACCCAGCAAACACATACAAATGAATAAAGCTTACCCTACTATCTAGAATCACCCCAGTTTCTCTCTTTGTAAACTATTTAATTTAATTTTCTTTTCTTTTTATAAAATCTTTATTGTTGAATGTAGAATGTATTACAGAGGTTCCACATTTTCCTCCATTGACCCCCTTCTCCCCACACCCGCCCCCTTCCCGCCTTTTCCCACACCATTGTCTGTGTCCATTGGTTATGCATATAAGTTCTTTGGCTTATTTCTTCCCACCCCCCCCCCAACCCCTTTCCCTTTGAGGTTTGTCAGTCTAGCAATAAAGTTGTACTTCTTAATCCCTTCACCATTTTCACCCATTCCCTCAACCCCCCTCCCATCTGGCAACCAACAAAATGTTCTCTGTATCTATGAGAATGTTTCTGTTCTACCTGTCCATTTTGTTTGTAGATTCCATTGTTGATATATATGTATTCATTGCCATTTTGTTTGTTCATATATTTTATCTTTTTCTTCAAAAAGACCCTTTATCATTTCATATAATAACGGTTTGGTGGAGATGAACTCCTTTAACTTTTTCTTGTCTGGGAAAGTCTTTATATGGCCATCGATTCTAAATGACAGCTTTGCAGGATAGAATAATCTTGGTTGTAGGTTCTTGGTTTTCATCACTCTGAATATTTCTTGCCACTCCCTTCTGGCCTGCAAAGTTTCTTTTGAGAAATCAGCTGACAGCCTTATGGAAACTCCCGTGTTGGTAACTAGCTGCCTTTCTCGTGCTGCTTTTAAGATTCTCTCTTTGTCTTGAACCTTTGGCATTTTGATGATGATGTGCCTTGGTGTGGGCCTCTTGGGGTTCATCTTGTTTGGGATTCTTTGTGCTTCCTGGACTTTTATGTCTGTTTTCTTCATCAAGTTAGGCAATTTTTCTGCCATTATTGTTTCAAACAGGTTTTCAATTTCTTGTTCTCGCTCTTCTTCTTCTGGCACCCCCAAGATGCGAATGTTGGCACGCTTGAAGTCCCAGAGGCTCCTTACACTATCCTCATTTTTTTGGATTCTTTTTTCTCTGTTCTGATTGGGCGTTTTTTGCTTTCTTATATTGCAAACGATGGTGTGCTTCTTGGATTTACGTACTCTACTATTGAATCTGTGTAAATTATTCTTTATTTCAGTTAATGCCTCCTTCAATTCTGACTGTGCATCCATCATTTGTGATTGGTCCTTTTTTATGCTCTTGAGGCCCTCACTAAGTTCACTGAGGTTCTCACTGAGTTCATTGAGTATCCTTATAAGCAGTATTTTGAACTCAGCATCTGTTAGGTTGCTTATCTCCATTTTGCTTAGTTCTTTTCTTGGGGTTTTGTTCTGTTCTTTCATTTGGGACCTGTTTCTTTGTCTCCTCATTTTGGTGGCCTCCCTGTGTTTGTTTCTGTGTATTACTTAACGAGTGGTATGGGGCTAGCTGAGACCAGATGCTGCTCGTTTGAAAGAATTTAGGAAAAACCTGAAGCAGGATCCAAGACAGGCCAATCCTATGGTTAAGTAAGTGTCTACAGCTTGGGTGGGCCTGAAAGTTGGGTGGGGCGGGGTGGGGCCTCAGGGAGTCAGCAGGGCGGGGCTAGCAGTGTGAGCCAGGTTGCTGGAGTCCCAGATATGGCAGCTGTCTGCCGCCCCAGGGAAGGGCTCACTAAAGGAACAAAGGCCTCTGACAGCATGCCTGTCCCGGAGAAAGCCCCCTCTCCAGCCCTCGCTCCAGTGCCAAACAGCTCAGTTCCTCCCTGTATGTTTCTGGTGCCCCTCGAGCTGCCTCCACTCCAAGCTTAGAGGGAGAGAGTCCTAAAAGTTCTTGTGCGGCCCTTTAAGGAGCTGCCTGGGGCTCCAGCTGCTTCAGCTTCCCTGAGCCTCAGTTTCTGCTGGTTTTTCCAGCCAGAAGTTATGGGGGCTTCTCTTCCTGGCACTGGAACCCTGAGCGGGGCACCTGGTGTGGGACAGGGACCCCTCAGTCCTCAGGAAGGACCTTCCCAGCCGAGGTATCCTCCTGATTTTTATCCACCACGCGTGGGTGTGGGACCAGCCCCTCTCGCCTCCGCCCCTCCGCCCCTGCTACCAGTCTGGATGTGGTTGCTGCTTTAATTCCGTAGTTGTAGGACTTCTATTCAGCTTGATTTCAGGCGGTTTTGAATGATGGTTGTTCTGTAGTTTAGTTGTAACTTTGATGTGGTTGTTTACCTATGCCGCCATCTTGACCGGAAGTCTTATTATTTAATTTTCAATTACAGTTTACATTCAATATTATTTTTTTATTAGTTTCAGGTGTACAGCATATTTGTTAGGTAATTATAGATTTTCCAAAGTCTTCCCTCTGATATTTTCAGTATCCACCTGGCACCATATATAGTTATTACAATATTATTGACTATATTGTTTATGCTGTACTTTACATCCTCGTGACTATTTTGTAACTCTTAATCTGTTCATCTATTTCACCCAGCCCTCCAACCTCTAGCCTCTGTGGCACCTTCAACCTCATATCTGGGTCTATGAGACTGCTTTATTTTATTTGTTCATTTATTTTGTTATTTAGATTCCAGATTTAAGTGAAATCATATTGTATTTGTCTCTGTCTGACTTATTTCACTTAGCCTAATACTATCTAGGTCCATCTATGCTGTTGCAAATGGTGAACTGTCATTATTTATTTATTCTTTATTGATGTTAGAGAGAGAGAGGGAGGGAAAGGAAGAGAGAGATAGAAACAGCGATGACAGAGGAAGACACTGTGGCTGGATCTGTGGCAACCACACCTACCCGGCCGGGAACCCAAGCCGAACCATCCTCATCAGAATGTCAGGCAAAGATTGAATAGAAATCTTTCCCTCCCGAATGGCACAGACCATCATGAAGGCTCAATTAAAAGGAACACAGACAGATCAAAACCTCCTGAAGAAAAAATCTGATGCCTTAAAGCTTCGATTTTGACAGATCCTAAAAAGATCATAGAGACTAAAATGTTGATGGGTGAAGTGATGAGAGAAGCTGCCTTTTCACTTGCTGAGGCCAAGTTCACAGCAAGGGACTTCAGCACCACAGTTATCCAAAATGTAAATAAAGCCCAAGTGAAGATTCGAGCAAAGAAAGATAATGTAGCAGGTGTTACTTTGCTAGTGTTTGAACATTACCAAGAGGGAACGGACTGGTTTAGCCAGAGGTGGGAAACAATTGGCTAAATTAAAGAGGAATTATGCCAAAGCAGTGGAACTACTGGTGGAACTCTTCTCGCTGCAGACTTCCTTTGTTACTTTGGATGAAGCTATTAAGATAACCAACAGGCGTGTAAATGACATTGAACATGTCATCACTCCCCGCATTGAATGTACCCTTGCTTATATCATTACAGAGCTGGATGAGAGAGAGCGAGAGGAGTTCTATAGATTAAAGAAAATAGAGAAGAAAAAGATTCTCAAGAAAAAAACTGAAAAGGACTTGGAGAAAGGGAAGGCAGCTAGAGAGGTGACGAAGCCTGCCAATCTCCTGGTTGAAGAGAAGGATGAGGATCTTCTGTTTGAATAATCCTTCCTGCTCTGGTTCTTTCAGAAGTCCTAACGTGGCACCATTTTAGTTCAGTGTGTAGGTTTGGTTCATGTGGTTGCTTATTTTTTGGCCTGAGTTTCACTGGTTGTAAAATTTCCCTGATGTCCATTTATTGGATTATCTTTGCAAAATCCTAATTTAGCAGCCATTTATCACACATGAGATTTAGAGAACTGGCCCAGGAACTTGCAGAATTTATGCTGCAGAAGTATCACCCTTCTTCATCTATATCTGGTCACAGGTGATCGGCTTACCAAGCATATTAGGGCATCCACCTTAGAAAACAGCAGTGGACTCAGACCAACACAAGCAGGCCAACTACTGTAGGCGCACCCTTCATTCCCACCCACTCGCACCCCTGGGCTCTGCTATCTGCAGCCTCCTTGTGTTCCCGTGGTATTTTTCTCGTCAAGCTTTAGGAGAGACTTCACTTATTTTACTTTGCATGACAGGTCTCTGTTCTATCATGGAGCAGTTTTGCCCATTTGAATGTGACTACGGTATAAACAATAAAATGATTTAAAAAAAAACATCAATGAGAGAGAACATTGATTAGCCACTCCCTGCAAGCCCCCCAATGGGGATCAGGCTAAAATTTGGGCATGTGCCCTACTGTGAATCGAAATGGTGACCTCTTGGTGCATGGGTTGATGCCCAACGACTGAGCAACACTGGCCGGGCAAGATATCATTATTTTTAATGGTCAAGTAATATCACATTATATATATGTACAACTTGTTTTTTTAAGTAATTAATTTATTTTTGTTACAGATGTTTCTCCTTTTTCTCCCACTGAATCACCCTCCCCGCCCTGTCCCCAGCTTTGTTGTCCATGTCTATTGTTCATGCATAAATGCATATAAGTTCTGTGGTTTATCTCTACCCCACCACCCCCTATTCTGGGGATAGTCTCTGTATCCCACTTCCATTCTCTGGGACTACCGCAATTCTCAGACTGTTATGTTCATTATATTCCAAAAATAAGTGAGATCATCTGATACGTTTCTTTCTCTGTTTGGCTTGTTTTGCTGAGGATGACACTTTCCAGGTCCCTCCATATCGTCGTGAAGGATAAGAGAACTTTCTTACAGCTGCATAGTACTCCATTGTGTATATGTACCATAGCTTTCGTATCCATTTGTCTACTGATGAGCATTTGGGCTGTTTCGAGATCTTAGCTATTGTAAATAGTGCTGCTACAAACATAGAGGTACATATATTCTTTCTGATTGGTGTTTCAGGCTTCTTAGGGTATATTTTTAGAAGTGAAATCACTGGGTCCAATGGAAGTTCAATTTTTAACT